CATTGATCCAGTAGGATGGATTCTCCTTCAGTCTCTCTGAGGAAACTCTGGCTGCAGTTCACCTGAAGCTCTCTGGATGCTTCCTGCTGGTCTCTGCTGGGTCGGTGGTGGTTTCATGGTTCCTTCGAGCATCGCAGCATTTTTTTGTCTTTCATGTAATCTGATTACAGGTAATCAGCTGTGACCTCAGATTTGTGTAATTTCCCAACAGAATGTCAAAGGACCATCAGAAGGTTTGTACAGATTCTGGCTGATGATGTTTTTTTGAAGTTAGCACGTCTTTAAACCCGTCGCAGGTCTTGTGGGTCAGAGGGTTAAATAAAGGCTTCAGGTCAGAATGAGATGACGGCAGCTTTAACTGAACCTCTCTGTGAGGCTCATGTTCATCTTATAGATATTCTGTTGTAGCCTGTGTGAAAAAACATCCATTGAAACACTTTTAATCTTGATTTAATAGAGAAATAAAGTGAGACAGCGCAGATGACATGCTGATGCTGAGACAAAGCTGAAAGCAGAATGAGTGGGAGGGAGGACGTTTCAGGATCAGTCTAAGTGGTATATTTTGGAAGTGTTTTAATCGAGACATGTACGGTGGAGTGACTTTGATGAAACATTAATATTTTGAGCTATTTTTCCAAACAGACCAGCACATGATCAGTTTATGGGCTGTTAAAGCTGAAAATCTGTTATTGTCAGTTTGGCTGATAAGAATTTAAAAAAACCAAAAAACCTGCAGCATCCGAAGCTGGAGGGTTAATGAAGCATCAGCTTGTTCACACAGCAGCGTGATGGAAGCAAACAGTCACCACGTTCTAGTCGTTTAGATCCAGTCGACGATGTCCTTTGGGCGTCGATGTGGAGGGAGACTGAGGCTCTTCCTCCGTCTCTGGAAGTCTTTGTGTGTCTGCCTCCCACACTGCTGTCATTATAGCCAGTGACGTTATCAGCTTATCGGCCAGAGGTTGATAAAGGTTAGCTGCTCGGTGTGTGTGTGTGTGTGTGTGTGTGTGTGTGTGTGCGTGTGATCACGTGCACGCCCCTTCCTCCCCGGTGACTACAGCCTGGGCAGTGAGAGATGGAGTTCGATCCTGAGGTTTGTGGTGTGTGTTGGTAATGCGGCAGAGCCGGCTGGGTTCACATGAGGAGATGGGCACTGCGGAGGCCACACGTGTGTGCGTCTCCATGTTTGTGTGTGCGTTCTCAGGGAGGGGGGGGCTCTGTCCTCAGATGACACACCCAACCGAGCTGCTGGTGTGTGCGTCCATGTGTGTGTCAGCTGTCCTCGGATGGCTTCGGTATCCCCACAAACCCCTGACAAGTCCTCGGCAGCAGTCTTTTTACAATACAGGCCTGAGTGTAAAACTACTCTGAGTGTAAAACTACTCTGATTACAGGACTATCCTGATTATAGGACTACTCTGATTACAGGACTACTCTGATTATAGGACTA